CGTTCAGAATATATACAGAAATTTATTCGAATCGCAACAAACGAAAGAGGAATCTCCCTTCTCTTGGAATCGGATGGATCGAGCTTTGAGACGGCCCATTCAAACAGACCGGCGATATACGGATCCGCGCACGAGTTTTCGGTGGAAGAATATTTTTCTCACGAAACGATATTTTACGTTTGGAGTGAGAACGACGGCTGAGGACGAAGTTCATATTGTTCAAACCACAGCCGCTCCTCTCGCCTATTACGAATCATCGTCCCCCAATCTGAAGGAAAGAAGTTTTAAAGTCAGCGACAGGATGAAATATAAGAAATATATTCTAAGACCTTTTCAAAACTATGTCGTTCCCCCCAAAAACGCAATATCTCATCGTCACAACCCAGAAGAGTCTCTTTCTCGTCGATCGGTGCTCGTACTCGCTTTGGAAACAATTGAAAGAGGAGATTTCTTTCCAATCGCCGATGATGTTTCAAGAAAAAGAAGAAGAAAACCCTCCGCCACCTTTACCCATCCCTTCCTTAGATGATAAGAGGAGCTGGACCAAACCGTCGTCATGGCCCGAAACAAAATCGACCCGGCAACGGAATGAAATTGAAGTCATCACAATTGAAGATGAGGAGGAAAAAAAAAAATTACCTCTTAAAAAACGGTCGACTTACCGGAACCTACCTGGCGTGCAAGATCCGCTTCAGAATCCAGAAGCTTCTTCTTCTTCTTCTTCTTCCCCGACTTGTTCAAACAGGCAACCTCTTTCGGACTCCTCACAGACAGAACCTCTTCCAGTATCCTCTTCTTCTTCTTCTCTCCTCCAACCTGTCCCGACATCGTAGAGGTAGAATGTCAGACGGGTCCACAAGCTTCAAAAAGTCCCGACATCGTAGAGGTAGAATGTCAGACGGGTCCACAAGCTTCAAAAAGTCCCGACATCGTAGAGGTAGAATGTCAGCCGGGTCCACAAGTTCCAAGGTCCAGAAATCATGGAGGCAGAATCACAGCCGGGTTCACAAGTTCCAACGGGTCCAGAAATCATGGAGGTAGAATTTCAGCCGGGTAAACAAGTTCCAACGGGTCCAGAAATCATGGAGGTAGAATCGCAGCCGGGTCCAGACATCCTAGATCCCTCCACTCATCCCAAAGAGACTCCAAGTGTTTCAAGACAGCCTTGTGAGGATCCAGCCCTTCCCGTATGGAATGATTATATGGACTTACAAAATTTGGTGCAACAGGAAGGAGAAGAAAATAATCATACGGATGGGTGGGTCAAAGACTGTTTAGATCATTTAACCTCGAATGAAATTGAACTGTTATGGAATTGCATTTCTGAAATCACATCGGAAATGGGATAAAAACCAAAACAAAAAAACTTTTTTAATAACAAATTGGAGGAGGGTCATGATGTCAATTAAAAAAAATATTATATAGAGTCCAATCTTGGTGGTTCACTTCAGTTTTCCAGCATGAGGTGATCCACGTTTCCCGAAATATGGATCCCATTCCAAGAGAGATTGTGTAGAGCCTTCACTTCAGTTCTTTTTTTTCTACCAAGAGGAGAGGGTCCCCAAAGGGCTACCCATGTCCAAAGAGAGAAAGTGTAGAGCGTTCATTTCAGTTTTTTTTTCCAAGTTTAGGGGAGGGAGGTCTCAAAATGACACCCCCCCCCATTTTCAAAGAGAGATGGTGTAGAGCGTTCATTTCTGTTTTTTTCCAAAGTTAGGGAGTTTTCAAATGGACTACCCATTTCAGAGAAAGAGAGAGAGAGAGAGAAGAAGGTGTAGAGCGTTCATTTCAGTTTTCCAACATTAGAAGGTCCAAAATCCTGAATTCAAAGAGAGAGAGAGAAAAGCGTAGAGCGTCTTTTCCCAAAAAAAGGGCTTTTCCCTCATTCAGAGACAGCGAAGTGCAGCTTCAGTTTTCTCCCTCCCCAAGAATAGAGGGTCCCAAAATGGCTTCCCATTTCAAAGAGAGAGGGAGAGGCGTTCATTTCCATTCTCCAAGATAGGGTCGTCTGCTTTTTCCCAAAATGGCTTCCCAATTCAAAGAGAGAGAGAGAGAGTAAAAGGGTGTGTAGAGCGGTCATGTTCATTCTCCAAGATAGGGTCGTCAGCTTTTTCTCAAAATGGCATCTCCCCATTCAAAAGAGATCGTAACCAATTTTTTTCCAGTTTTTTCCAAGATGGGGGGGGAGAAGAAACCTAGGATGGAATAACACGACACACAGAGAGAAAGAGAAAAAAAAACGCCATCTTGTCATTTTCTAATAGGGTACCGGTGTTCGAATACTTTTGTGACCGACTGTACATAAGATGATTTATTTATCTTGAATATTTTTACAAATCGCTGCTCGTTGCAGCAAAATAAAATTCCTACCTTTAATTTTTATGTACTCTACCATCTTACAGCTTCCCCAAAACTGGCAAATTATTACTTTATAATGATATGCAAACTGAGAAACCATCAGCCCTATTACTTTTTTTAAAATTTTAATTAAATTATTAGTATACTTTTTTAATAGTTTGATATTTTTCTACTTTTAATATTTTTTCATAAAGAAGTACAGATACAATTGTTCGATCTCATTAAAATTCAAATTCTTTTTGACATGAGTTTCAATTTTATTTATTTGTATTTTATTTGGTCTTATGAGTAAATAGAAATTATTTAAGTTTATAAATTGGCAAGAGCAGATTCCAATATTATTTAAAAGAAGGAAGAAGTAAAAACTTAAATTTTAGTACTATTTTTTTTAATTTTCAGTAGTAAACTTAACTTTTATTTGAAGTATTGGACGGCAATCTGATGTTTTGAAACTAGAAATGCTATATTTCTGTTCTTTGTAAATAAGTCACATTCAATACCTGTCCGTTTCAAATCAGAAATTCACGTATAGTTTTAAAAATTCTTCGCTTCACCTTGAATTTTAAGATCTTCAGTCAGAATGTTTTATGTTAGTGAATATTTAAAACTGTTTAAAAATGCTTGTCTCTAAACTTTTTCTATATATCATATATTGCTGATTAAAAAAGACAAACAGCCAGATTTTTCCAGAAGCACAATTCCTTTATAAAAAGATGTAATTTTGAGCATAAAAGAAGCCTAAAAATTTGAAACTTTGAAATGTACTTAATTTTTAACTATGAGTTTCTTTAAAAAAGCAATTTTAAAAGTCACATTGAATCCCATTAACTAAATTTGGCAGGAATCATAAAACACATTTTTTATAATAATTATTCGAAATTATTTTTAATTTTAAAAGTAATTCATTTGAAAATAAGATATTTCTGTGAAAGAAAACGCTTAAGTTTTGTAGTTTTGCAACCTTCTACTCATGAAATGTTGATTTTACCTTAGGGCACTCCCATGGTCTGTCAGAGAGAAGCTATTTATTTGCAATGCTCTTGACAGCTCGCATCTATTAATGTTTACGGTGTCATCAATCTCTTTTAGGCGGAACCATTGATGTAAAATTCTGGGAGGGAAGAGATATAACAAAAGAACTAGTTAGCATTTCTCAAACGTCTAGGCTTATTTTCCCCACATTTTACGGGAAGTTGGGTCAAAAATTAGCGATAGTTTTAAAGGTATTTGCAGGAAATAACTCGACAGGCTCAGGATTAGTGAAGACTATGGCAACGTTTTTTCAACGTTGACCTGAATTTTCAATTTCAGTAGCCATTCCTCTAGTGCATGCATATAATTTTGAAGATGTTGAATGACTGGGCTAAGAAATGCATTTTGAGCAAAGACCGCTATGTCTTCAGCATTCAAGTAGTGTTGGGGGGGGGGGGTACGTTCACATAAATATTCAAGGTGGAGGCCCTAGTACGACCCCTGGGTCACCCAGCTGAAACCAACGTTTAGTGGAGTAAGTGTTAGGAAGGTAAACGACAAAGTGTCTACCTATAGGTTATAATTATGTGAGTAATGTAATCTGGAAAGGCCCAGATTGTTGATTTTGTATATTAATGCATCTATCCAGACATGGTCGAAAGCTTGCGTGCGAGACTGTGTATCGGAAATTCTAAAGATATGCTCATTTTAAAATTATTTTGTGATATTGCTGTTGAATTGAATTTTATGGTTTAAGTGCGAAGAATATGATATTGAATAAATAAAGGTAAACACAGAAAACGTTAAAAAATCTCTCCTTTGGGTGTAATGTAAAATCTGAAAGCTTTCAGTTTCCCCCCCCCCATTTTTTTTAAACGTAATTTTTAGAAAGGAGTGTTTTTGACTTTATTTATGTTGGCAATGCAAATTTACGGCTGTATTCTAACTGAATAAAGAGTTGTTAATTTTTTAAATTATGGCATTCATTCATCTGGAGAACTTGTAGTTCATTTGAGTGAACCTTTTGTTTTCTGTTGCTTCGGGTAATTAAAGGGTTGAATTTAACTTTACGAACACGAAACTTCTGAATAATAGAGTGTTTATGTAGGGGCCATGTGGGAGAATTTTTTAGGATCACCCTAAGATAAGTGACCTGCTTAGCCCAAGGCAGTGAGGTTCCATAGAACTGCAGGTTTTGTTCAATTTTTCTCTATTTAGTGAAGATTAAGAAGTCTTCCCTGGTTAGACTGTTCTTGTCATTTGAGTGAACCTTTTGTTCCGTCTTTCATAACCTTTTGTTTTCTGTTGTTATTTACAATCCCGATTGGTTTTTCAAATTTGCTTTTAAATAGTAGACTATACTAGAGCTACTAGAGTTACCCTTTTAGTAGCCTAGAATGACCTCCTACAGTTCAAATCAGATGAGACAAATAGGAGTGATGCATGGAATGTTTCATGAATCACTCGTATTTGTGAAAACTTCATAGATGAGCTAATTTTTTTATTGCTTCAAGAGAAAAAAAAAATTAATAATATGATGCTAAAAACATAGATGCTAAAAATGGAGTTCAGGTCCTTGGCTTAGAGCAAGCCATCTGAAAGTTATTTGTGGAATTCATCTGCAAGCTATGTGAAAAATTTATTTCGTAATTTAAGGTTCACAATAACAACACGCCCCTTCATTGACTAAAAAGTGTTTACTTAATTTTTCATCATTATGTGATTTATGTATGAGCAGGTTTAATAAATTCGAACGTAATAAATTTCGCAAATGCTTCATAATCTATTATTCAGCTCTCAGTTTAGCAACAATGGAGAAGGTAATCAAGAGAACTCTATATTGTGCTCAAATTAAATATCCATAATATAAATTAGAGAATTACAATCTATATCGAAATGGCTGTCGGAGGAGGAGGTAATTATTATCATATTTTGATTATTTTCTGACCCTTTATAGGAAGTTTAAAAGTAATATTAGTCTTTTAGCGGTAATTTTACAGTTTGTTTAAAAATTAGTTGCATGATTGTTTATGTTTTAATAATAGGTACTTAATTTTTGTTATTCAAAAATACTGTTGTTAGTTTTGTACATTCAAGTGTTTGAGAATTCTGTATGAATGCAGTAACTTTGCTGCTAGATTTAAAATTATTAATATGTAAATGGGATGTGTCATTAAGTTTACAGCAGCATGTTATACTGACTTTGCAATTTCTCCAGCATACTAATTCTGAATCTGTCTAGATTTGTATATCATAGCTTCTAAATAAAGATGACATCTTCGGTCTCTGTTGTATTGGGAGGTCTTTATTATCCTATCAAAGTTTATTTTACTTTCTAAATTTTCAAACTTCGCATTTTTGTTTATATTAATACACATTTCTTATAGTCGTATGACCATTATTAATAAAACGTACTCTCTTTTATATTGTTTCAGTAGCTCCTGCTGTTTTATATTGCTGCATAAAAATAACTTTTACTAAAATCATTAGCTTTTGCATATATATACTGCTGTTTAACTGTCCATTTTTTAACTTTCAATCCTTTTTATGAATAAATGTAATGTGTAAATTTTTATGTAAAATCTGGGTAATCGGATTTGAAATATAGCTATCCTCACTTAAGGAACTTTTGTTTTGTGAAACTGATTTGTGAAAGATCTAAAATATTACCTTTTCTCGTGAATAAAAGAAATCTAAAGAAAATTTCTGCTTTTACGAAGAAGAGTAGAAAGAAAAATATGACTTGGTGTTTATTATATGGAATGATTTCAGATTGTGTGTGTGATTATGGCAAAGACTCGAGGGTTATCTGCCTAAGGGGAGGGATGCCTTCGTGGAGGACTTTCTAAGGGAACTGGCTCATATACACGTTCACATGAGGAAAACCACGAAAACGCCCATGCAGCCAGCCCATTTGCGGGATTCGAACCTCGAAGCAAACTACCAGTGTTCAGCGACTTTACTGCTCGGCTGCTGGAGAAATGATTTCAGAAAAATCTCATTAATTTTAATACAGTTAACAGGTTTAAGACAGTTTATGCAAGCTGTTTTGATTACATATGAAAAACTACATGATAAAAGTAGTTTCTCATTTTCAGAATCCAAACACGTGTCTTGCTTCAAACCTTTCATTTGAACTAGAATATAACAAATTTCAACTTTCAACACCGGGCCAGATGCAGTGATCTTACTGATTCAAATGATGATAAAAAATTAATAAGTGATCTTCATCTTTTCAGTCTCGTATTGTATGTCATATGTTTATTTACATTATCTTAGTTTCCTTTGCTAAATATTTGATGCACAGTGGTCTTTTATGGCTACGAGTGTGCTCACTCTCTTTTCAGTTTTGAAGGGTACATTGTGCAATGATATTTCTATTCAAAGTCAAAGCTCCGGTTAGTCTATATTTTAGGGTGTCCCTGGATTATCATCAAGTTGTTTCATTTACGGCAACCTGAGTAGTTGAATGTTATGGAAACCCTATTACGACGTGATTGCTTGAATGAGTGCGGTGAATTTGACTAATGAGAAAATATTTGGGTGAAAGTGCAGAATTGCCCACTGCTTGGCGTGTTTTTAAGAATTGCACATGCTTGATATCCATGTACACATCTACCTATTTTCACTTAAAAAAAAATCCTAGAATTGCACAAATATGACATTGTGTACTCCCTTGACTTTATCCATGTACACATCAACCTATTTTCACTCAAAAAGTCAAAGAAAATTGACAAAAATTCAAGGCTGATCTTTGGAATATGGTAAAAGGTAGTTTGGCGACATTTTGGAGGCGATAAAGGTTACTACTACCTAGGACTTTGGTAATAATGCGAGAAGTACTCAGTTCCGATTACGCATTATTTTGTGTGAGGGAAATGAGAGATCATGAAATATGTCATGTGACATTAATGGACAAATAAATTACAGTTCTTTAATCGGAAAAGGGGATAAATTTGGAAAAACATCTGCAGTACTATAGCTGCATTTTGTATTAAGCTTCATTGTGTGTTGTGCGAGTGTTGATTAATTTTCGGATTGCAATAGCGTTATGTAAAGTGAAAGAAATTAGCAGTAGTACTGCGCCGATTGGAACTCTTTCTGTAGGGGAAGTGGTGTGCCACGTAATGAAGATTCTGAAGAAGATTAGGTAAGTTAGTATTTTAATCATTTGAGGATATTATTTTTATGCATTGTTCTAAATGTAAGGAGTAAATAAATTAATATGGTATTATGGAAATTGTTATTAGCAATGATTTTAGTTTAAAGTAATTAGGATTGTAATCTAATTTTTATTAATTTAATGTATGTGCTTATTTATATTTTAAGTAATGTTTTTTTAATTTAATTATATTTTAATTTAATGATCGTCATTTTGTGAGTTATATGTTTGTAGTATTTTGGAATACGTTTGAGTAGAATACGTTGAGTATTTTCATGCATTTTCGTGAAATTTTTCTAATTTATAAGAAAAAAAGCAGTGTACATGGATATAGTGAAGAGTGTGCGCAATGCCATTTTTGTGCAATTTCTGGATGTTTTTTTAAGTAAAATAAGTCACATGTACATGGTTTAATTATATTTTAATTAAATGATAGTTTTGTGAATTATATGTTTATAGCAATTTGGTATACGTTTAAGTGGATGTAAACGTGCATGGAAATAATTTAAATATTTGATAGTAAGTATTTGTAACCAGTTTTAATGTTTTGTTATGAATTTGTTAGTGACGTTTATAATAGATAATTTAGAGGTAAAAGTTTTTGGATATTTTATTTATATTATACGTGGAAATGTTCATCATTGGATAGGGTATATACTTTTTCGCGATCAGGTTATTTCATATACGTGCTTTTTACCAAGTTTAAAAGATTCACAAAATTTTAATGCATTTTCGTGCAAATTTTTGTAATTTATGAGAAAATAGCAGTTTAGATGGATAAAGTCAAGAGTGTGCGCAATGCCATTTTTGTGCAATTCTGGGATGTTTTTTTAAGTAAAAATAAGTCGACATGTACATGGTTACTGTGTATTGTGCGATTTTGAAAAACGCGGCAAGGAGGTTGCGATTTTCTGCACTTTTTTTTCCCAATTTTGCAGTTAATATTTGTCATGATTAAGCAGTTTTGTTCCATAAAATTTCTAGCATAAGTGTAATTCGGCTAGGAGATTGTTGGAAAAAGTGTTGAGTAAATAAAAAGAAAAGAAATATATCTTTACTTCGTGAAGACAAAATGGCGGCGAAAAAAAAAATAGAGGGTTGCTGTAGCAGAGTTGGTCGCCAAATTTTCGCCAAAAAATCGCCAAGTTACCATAATCCAAAGATCAGCCAAATCCAATTCTTCTTACTCTTGTAAAAAGCACCAAACAAATAAGTGGGCGATTTTGCACTTTAGCCAATATTTGTAAGGGCTTATTTTTGCTTTGGATGTCATTTAGGATGTACGTTGCTTATTTTGTGCTGTACACCGTAATATGACTGTATGTGATGAGATTAATGTGAAGTTTCTGTATGATTTGAAATGAAAGCACTAATTGACTGGTGTGAAAATGAAGGTTTACTTAGTAGTTGAAAGGAAAGCTACTAAGTAATGAAATGACTCCATAAAATTTCATTACTTACTTTGTTACTATCTTCTTGAACTCCAGAGCTCCATGAAATCTGATGTCACTCTTGATCAAGAAGTAATTCTAGAGAATGATTAGTTTTTTTTTGTGTGGCAATGTTATCTGTATTCCATGAATTTTTTTTTTTTTTTTTTTTTTTTTTTTTTTTAGTTGTAGTTTTTATTTTGGTTTGAGATGTAAACATTAATAAATTTGAATTTAAATGAAAGATTTGGAATCTTCTTTTTAGAGTTTGATATATGCCTCAGTTCCAGCCAAGAAATATTTGTAATTAATGTGTACTATATTATTTTCCTTTTTTTCTTTTTTTCTTTTGGAACAGTAGTCATTATAAGTATCCTGTTTGTGCAAAGGAAATGCGTATGGTTGTATGTAAAGATCAATCAGATGGTTTGAATGGGTTTGTCGCAAGAGAGGTTCATGCAGAAATGCTTTCGTCACTATGGAGAATATTTTTTACTCCTATTTTTGTGAATATCTGTGATGATGGCAGTATGTATATTCTAGCTCAGATAATTTTTGAAAGTGTTTGGATGCCGTTAAGGAATTTTGTGTGCAACAGACTGAAGACACGGAAATTTCTAAATATGGTTAGTTGATATTTCCTTTTTGTAGTGTGTATATGCGATAAGATGTATTTCCTTGTTTATGTTATTTCATTGTGTAATTTAAAATGTAGTTTACTGAGCTTCGATTGGCTACAAATTTTGTTCAGTTTTGGTGATGAGTAACTTTGTTTTAACATTATAGGGTGCCATCATTTCCTGATTTTTTTAAGCAAAAATAGATCAATGTGTACATGGACAAAGTCAAGAGAGTGCACAGTGGCGAGTTTGTGCAATTTTCTGATTTTTATAAACTGAAAAATAGATCGATGTATACATGGACACCGAGTTTTTGCAGTTCTTTGGCTTGTTATTTTGATTTTGTGTAGTTTGTGCACATCTTAAAATTGTGCCTTGGTGGTCAATCGCCAATGGGCACCCTTAAATATATTTTTGCCCAAACCTCCATTAACTAGCAGTTTCTAAATCTCCAGATCCTCAGTATAAGAGACTACTGTCTTCATTTTTAGTATATATTTGTTAATAACAAGTAACAATCGTGATCCTTTTAATGCCTGTTTAATGAGGTTTGACTATATGGTTTGTATATTTTTTAAATTATTCTTTCTTTTACTGTTATTTTTAGGTTTTAAAAAATGTTTAAAACATAAAAGAACTGGCATGAGAGACTGAAAATATTTTGATGACCTTGGAGGCATTAAAAGGCTTTTTCCATGTAAAT